GTAAACTGCGAAAATGAAGTCTCAAAATCCAAATGAACCGAACAAGATCCACTCGAACTAGACATCATTTAATGCACGTGTGTCACCTGATCCACATATGCATGTATTCCTTTTTGCATGAGCAATTTATGATATATTAATGCAGAACAGAACATTTTTATTCACAAACATGTCTGTATTTGTACAAATCGCTGCACAATCATTTAATCCAGAATTCCACAGACTCAAATTGAAAGGCATTTGTTTGTGGTTAGTAAGATACATGTATAAAATGTATGCAGTACATGGATAACTGTGCGTGCATCTATTAATCAATTTGAGTCTAATATCATCCCATACTAAAGAAGTTAAGGAGACAGATTCATTGAGAAACCGGAGTTCCATGACTCTCATCCCTTGTCTTCGTATATATGAATATTAAACTGTGTTCACAAATACAAATATATCAGAACCAAACACGGCATCTATTTCAGGTCAGTGTCATTAACCAGTGATGGAGGAGCAGCAGTTATTCATTAGTTTCTGCTGCTTCCATTATTCAGTAAACACACCAGAATATTACTTATTATCATAATGAAATCTAAGTTTATCAATTTGGTAAAATATGATTCATGACAATATTTATGTAGAAAATGCATGTTAGTGTGACGTTCTGAAAACATGTTACAAGATTATCAAAATTATCAAAAGATCTTCTGTAACACATGAGGTACATTTGCATGTCTTTAATCTGTCATGATGTTCCTAAAGATCTGACTGCAGGTTTCAGGAAGTCTTGAGGCTTTAACACAGTCTGTGTCTTTAACCGTCTGTCATCATTCAGTCAGTATGGAGCTCAGTCAACTTCCTCTTGTGCTCTGTGAGTATTATTTTTTATCTATGTATTTCAGTGGCTGGTAATTGCTATTATATTATGTAAATAGTAAATAGTACACAGTTAGTAAAAGCGTATCTTTATCAGACTGTTTGCTTCAAGTTCCCTAAACAAGTTCAAGTTCTCTCTGCTTTGATGATGAAATCTATAAAACATCAAACAAATGTTTCAATGTTTGTCTGGACACACATGCATGTAGTCCCACAACAATATCTTAATGTGAGTTACTACTTATAACAGTCACTGTTTTCAGGTTTTTACAGAAATACTCATTCAGTTGCCACTACGTCTAAAAAAACAAGCTGAGGAAACATTTGAGAGTAAAATTATGGCATTCCTTTAAACTTTTATGTCTAAAGTATAAAGGAAAGTTGATCAGTTCCATATTCACACTGTAATGAGTTTTTTCTCTTTGTGTTTTTAGTGCTGATTTCACACATCCACTCTAGACACAATGAAGGTGAGAGAATTTGACTTATGTATTTCATAACATATGGGTGATGTCTCACTAACGGTTACAAACCAGATGAGAAAATAAACGTTTTGATTATAAACACACCTTTTTAAACAAGTTTTATAAATGACCATTAGCAGTGAGCAAATACATAGCAAGTACTTTTCCTAGACATGGGTCACGACGAGGCGTTCCCCATAGCGACCCCTAGAGGACGCAGTTCGAAGTTCCACGAAAGGGAACGTCTCGGGTTACTTGTGTAACCATGGTTCCCTGAGGGGAACGAGACACTGCGTCCTCTAGGTTTCTTGCCATGCTGCGGACGCAAGCTTCAGACGAAGAAGTGAATGATGTGCGCTACCGGCGCCTATTTTGTACTAGTCGCGACGGTAGTGACGTCATGGCTGTCGCCGGCCAAACAAGTTCGTGTTTTTTCAATGTAGGCTTCAGACACGGGTCACGACGAGGCGTTCCCCATAGCGACCCCTAGAGGACGCAGTGTCTCGTTGCCCTCAGGGAACCATGGTTACATAAGTAACCCGAGACGTTTCTTAACCCTTAGGTGCTGTGTGGGGTCTTTTTGACCACAAATTACGTTTGCTGAAATAATAATAATAATAAAAAAATGTTCCCTTTATCTAAATGGCATGAGACTACTGAAATGAATGGGGAAATCTATACTTTTTCTTTTTAATTTGTCAAATAAAATCACTAAATCCACCACAACGCAGACCACAAAATACATGAAAATGAAGTGGCAACCCTTCCACATGTTCACAATGCAGAACGATTACGCTCGCACACACATGCACCCCCACAGACACCCCACCCCCAAAAAAATCACCCATAGAAATAAATGGGAGACTACAAAATATAAATTTTTTTTTTGTTACATAATTTGTCAAAAATGTCAGTTACAATGCAGACAACACACAAAAACGTCTCTAGGTTACGTATGTAACCATGGTTCCCCGAGGGAACGAGACGCTGCGTCGAGAATCGCTTTGGGAACGCCCGATTTGACACGTGCTTCAGAACGCGGTCACGCAGGGGCGTTCCCAAAGCGAATCTCGACGCAGCGTCTCATTCCCTCAGGGAACCATGGTTACATACGTAACCTAGAGACGTTCCCCTTCAGGAACTCGAGCTGCGACGAGAGTCGCTTTGGGAACGAGAATACACACTGCGCCATACTACCAAGTCCCTGCCTGTGTGTGTATCAGATGAGCACATCACGAAG